ATTTTTTAGCTCTAAATTGGCCACAGTTTGTTGGCAGACACTAAATACTTTTTTCCCCCCCCCCCCCTCTTAAAGAACTTTTCTAAATATGAAGAAAACGGCTAAATTGACGGTCATTTTCCATTTAACTCAAGTTGTTTTTATGTGAGAGCAGAATTTGGCAGGCTTGTGGCACATTCTCGTGAGTTGGGCTTTGTGCCACGTTCTCGTGAGTTGGGCCTTGTGTTGGGTTGCTCGCTTGCTGGTGGTCGAGGCTTACTGCTAGGTGGGCCTTCTAACGCACAGGGCTCCTGAAGCGTGACTGCTGAAAGGGACAAGAAATCTCCAGGTAACGTATGTAAAAAGTTTAAAAGCTGTTTACCCGTGTCTGTCATGCCATAACGGACCAGGAGAATGGCAGGAAAGACGCCTCTGTTGGTAATGAAAATATTTTTAATGTGATCTAGGACAAGGACATTAAATATTGGCCTGCCTGAAATATCTTCACTATAGATATCCTGAGCAAGACCTCCTTCAACACTATAGAGAATAAGGTGAACCCAATCTTATGGGGCAAAGCAACTGGTTCACTTTAACTTGGCTCTGCCTTGCCCTTCGGTTTAGCCTTCAGGAAAGTTCTGTAAATTACCAGCTGCTGGAATTATAGCTTGAACAGGAAAATGAAGAGGGCAGGAGCGCAACAGTCTGCTGCCAGGTGTGTGGATGGGGAGTGATGAGTAAATGAGGATGTGTATATATGGGGTGGTGAAAGGGGATGTTGAGCACTTACATGGTATGGGTGGTGTGGTAGTGCATCAGTCTCACCTGAACTTGGAATTATAGCTTACAAAGGCCTATGGACTTTCTATGTGACTGTTCTGATTGGCCTGTCACATGGAGGTCATCACATTTTCCACCATGCCTGAAAGTACGGGGTATTTCCTCCAGCTCCTGGTGCTGAACAGTAAAGAAAGAAAGATTGGGGTATGAAGGAGAGTTGTGTTTTTTGTTTTTTCTTCCTAAATACATGTCATCAACGTCATCGGGGTTTGTTTATATTTTAAAAACCTTTTTGCTTCTACCGTGTTTCCCCAAAAATAAGACTGTCTTATATTTTTTGGGGCAAAAATAACACACTAGGTCTTTTTTTCGGGGTAGGTCTTTATTTTTTTATGCACAACAATCCACCCATATTCATGTACAAAAATATGGTGATCGGGGCAATCAGGGGTGCCGTACCTTTCCAAAAGCAATTTGATAACCAATCGCTGGCCAGAATGAGTGAAGCGCGCTTTCACTATCGATTCCTCACAGGCGGAGTGCATTTGGTATCACTCCGCCTGTGACAGGAGCCGGCGCTATAGAGGAGGCAGCTCTTCAAGTTCCCTCTTATGCCACCACCGGCCCTCGGAATGGTCATAACTAGGTCTTATTTCATTAAGATGCTCAGATAAAGAAAATTGAGAGATATTTTATGGGGGGGGGAGGGAATTATTTTGTATCCTAGTGTCTAAAGAAACTAAACGTCTTGTAGTTAGGATTTAAATTTCTTGAACGAAGGCCTGGATATAGACATTTTAAATATTAAATATGTATTAGCCAGCAATAAATCGGCTATAAAAGTCCTCACTGACCTTTTTTGTAGCTGCAGACACTATGCAGAAATTCAGCCACAAATTTGACATTTCAAGTCCTTGATAGTTGAGCAGCTTTCAATATTTTAGATTTCTGTAAAACAGTGATATGTTTAAATACATGGAATTATTAGAATGTCTTTGGCTAATCTGTTTCTTACCTCAGCACCTGCCTGATCATAAATCATGCTTAAAAGATTGAGGATCCTAGCACAAGGTTTTAATATAGACTTTGTTTTTTTGCTAGGAAAGGTTGAGCACCTCCGCTCAGGTTTTTATTTCAGTATGTGTTCTTGCCAACTGGGGACACAGAGCACGGCAGGCCAAACCTGATGATTATAACCCAGGGGTGGGCAAATCAATGGGGAGTTCAGGGTCCAGTCTGTCCAATCCAGAAGCCAGCAGAATCTTTTTTTTTTTTTTTTAAACAGCCAGCTCCATTGACAACCAGAGAGAATCTCTGACATTAGGAGCCAGTTTGTAATTTTTAAGGAGCATTGGCTACCCAATTCTCTGGATTTGTCCAGCCCTTCCCTAACCTTTTATTAGCAGATAGATAGATATTCCTCCTCATCCCCTGGTCTTCTTCTTTGGCGATTAGGTGGTCCTGATTGCACACATTCCTTGCATAATTACATGTGCAACCTTTTTTGCAGCATTGTGCTGTGAGGCCAGGGAGGTGAAGTGATGCACCCACGGGTGGTGAGTCCTTCCTCAGCTTATACCCAACAGGTCTGTTGTGAATCCTGTTATCTGGTAAAGAGGGTTTGGGGACATATAAGGGAATCCATTGGAGTCTGTAATTCTCGGGAGATAAATCTTATTAATGCATTCAACTACCTTAATAACAAAAATGTGTCTTGTGTATCACTCGGCTGTAGATCCTCAAATCATCTATGCATTGGTGCTAACACTGCTTTTGTTCCTCATGGTCCCTATGTGTGTTGTAAAGTAGTCACCGCTCCAAGCTCACTCCCATTATGGACTACAATCTCACTATAAATTAGTAAACTAAACATGAGATTGTAGTCCATAATGGGAGTGAGCTTGGAGCGGTGACTACTTTACAACACACATAGGGACCATGAGGAACAAAAGCAGTGTTAGCACCAATGCATAGATGATTTGAGGATCTACAGCCGAGTGATACACAAATAAGATACATTTTTGTTATTCGTGTACTTGATTGCATTTTTAAGATTTATCTCCTGAGTTTAGTGTCACTTTAAGAACCTCTGGGTTAGACTGTTGAGCTAGTGCAATTTTACCTGAAAGCCCGGAGGAGGTATCTATTGCAGCCAAAGGTTCTTTTGTTCTTTTTTTTTATTATTTTAAAAGCAAGCATTGAACTGAGAACTTGTTGACTTTCTTGAGGATGAATAGATGGCACTTCTGGCATATTTTTTAGCAAACATAAGTTTAAAGGTTTGTGTATATAAATCTACCTGGCATACTTTTACTATTTGCCTGCCTTTTTATGGCTTAATATTGCTCATTGTTTTTTGAGCTGAAGGTAAATTTTGCGGTGCGGATATGGAGGCTCGCGCATATGAATGCTTCTTGTAACCTGCTGTTACTCTTCTTGGATGATGTGGTTAGTTCTTCATTTTCATGAATACAGAATTAATGAATGGAATTTATCAAAACTGGAGCAGACAAAATCTGGAGCAGCTGTGCACGGCAACCGATCAGCTTCTCGTCTCATTTTCAAATCTTAACTGAACAAACTGAAGAGAAAAGCTTATTGGTTGCCATGCACAGCTGCTCCAGATTTTGTCTGCTCCAGTCTTGATAAATTCCCCTCTATCTTTATTGGGGAAGTAATAAATATCAGTCTAATCTTTCTTGGGAATAGTTTGAAGAATGGGGAATACTACTACCTTGCATTTGTGAACTGATCTCTCCACACAGGGGTCATTAGTTGGGGGCATATAGAGGGCAGAAGGTGATCCAGTAGGGTAGAGAGACTGATGTCCTCAATGGCCTTTCTGTCAAATTCAAGACTAAACCATTGCGAATGCCGACATCACATGGCAGCACGGTCAAAACAGTTTGCTTTTTAAATTATCTTGGAGAGCCCGAGTGACGAAACCCGGATCTATAATAGTTTTCTAATCTACAAATCTATGAGGTACAGTAACAACAACATCTCAAAATGTACACAATATGTACCTACAAGAGGCATGTGAAAGTTTGATCGAAAATTGTAATTAGAAATATGTGCTCACTGGAAATCCACTATACTTTTTCCTGTAGAAGGGAAAATGTAATACTCTATAATAATCAGTAACTGAATGTGTTTTCTAAGAAGCTTTCGATAATCCTTGAAGTACCCATCAGTAAATCCCTGGAAAATGTCAAGGGCAGAACGTGAGACCCTAGGAATAAGACTGCTGGTTGTTTTCAGATAAGGACTCCGGAGACTGATTAGCTAAAGGGGAAAAAAGTAGCTGTTACAAAATGCAACAGGTTTAAGCTAACCAAACACTGCTGGAATTTTGGCCAAGTCCTGCTCCAGCAGTGTGGCCCCATCCAGCACCCCTCTGTGCAACCAAAGTCTATTAGTCAATTGACTTTTGTCAAGATCTGGTCTGATAGCATTGAATCAAATGCAATCAGCGTTCGGGTATTCTGAAAGTGGCACATTTACTGATGTCAGAATACAATAGCTCAGCGGGTAGGGAGAGGGTTCCCCTATCCACACTGTGTAGCATAGATTGGCTGAATGAGAAAAACGACTGATGTATGACCAGCTATGCTAAAATGTACCTGGCTGCAGCACTTCCACCAACCGTTCCACATTCACTTTGTTGAAGTATCAGTCCCTGGGTCTTGTATATCGTGGTGACATTGAGTGGGTAAAACGCGAGTCTGGTCACCAGTGCCTCCTCATTCCTTAACAAAATAATCAGTTGCACAGGTTATGTGGTGGTCTGATTTATTCACTGTCTTCACAGGCAAAGATGGCTGCTACTTGGTCCAGCAGACTTCATCCAGATACTCCCTTTGCGGAACTCCACACTACCTCCCTCAACCATTGCTAGTCTAGCAGAGTCTAGGAAAAAAAGCTCTGTTGATGCTTCAAACGTGTATTATGCCCTGGTACTATTGCTACCTCCCCACAGTATTCTAGTGTCACCAGGGCAGGAAGTGCGGCAAAAATTACCCCAGTACGCACAAACCTCTCTTTTAATGTCCCTCTTAACTAAAACAAAAAGTTAGGCTTTTCTTGAGTTGTTCATGCATTTATTTACCACTTTTTTTTTTGCCATGTATAAACATTTTTGGATGTTAACTTTTTTGAGATTGTATTTTATAATTTTGCATCTTTTTATTTTCATGTTTCTGAATATTTTTCTAAGGATGTTTGTTTTTTTTCTTCCCAAGATCTCCTTAATGGGGCCCAGGAAACGTGTGAACTGCCTCCCATGGATGGCTATCCTCACTGCGAGGGTAAAGTAAAGGTAGGCACAACCTGTACCTTCAAAGTGTGCACCAATCTCATGTATTATAGATAATGAGATGAAGTGGTTTAGTTGGTATTAAAACATTGTTTATAATGTTGATTTGCACTCACGTAGTCACTGATTTTAATTAATTTCTCTTCTCTCACTGCAGTGGATGAAGGACATGTGGCGATCTGATGTCTGTTACTCCAATTACGGGGTCGATGGCTCCACCTGTTCTTATTTTATTTACCTCAGTGAGGTGAGTGGTAGTAGATTACTTTATGTCTGATCATATGAGATTATGTTTTTTTAAAACGCAGCTAAAATTCATACGTTGAAAGTATTTAATCTGCTAAAGTATTTGTACTTCTACTCAACAAATCTTGTGATCCAGGAATCTCTGCCATAAAACAGAAGTGTGCATTCACACTAAAATGCTCAGGTTAGGCATGCAGGCTAGCGTTGTTGGGTGGTGAAAAAAAAATGGACAGAGACCACTTTTGGTGTGAATGAACCTTAACATGGTCCATGACATCCCTTGCAGTTAAGCAGTGTAGTTGGTCAGGGACCCAGTGAAGGAAATCGCAGAAAGATGGTCATAGATCATCATTGTCCTCCTGCCAGCAGGGTCCCTAGTGTTAGCACTGTGCAGTACACAAACTGATCTGATTGACTCATAGTGCTAGCACCCCCTTTCCCCACCGCAGAGTTTGATGGGTTTGGGACAATTTACTCGAGTGCAAAATGTTTTATGCTTTACTGGAGTGTCTTAGTCCCCTTTCACATGGGCTGATCAGGAGAGGATCCTTGCACGGATCCCCTCATCAGAACAGTGATGGAATGTCACTACTGAAATGATCGGACCCCATGTTGGTCTTTTGGGGAAACGGACGCATGTCCATTAACATCATATTAACCACGACCAGGTCAGTCAAAACAGAACACTGTTCCGTTTGTTTTTCCGCATGTGGATAGAGTCGGGGTAACCGGTTGTAAACAGACGGCCATCCGTTTAGACCCGGCTGCTTATAGACTAGCAATGGGCATCCGATGTGATCTACCTGAATAAAAATCAAGAGGCAGTCAATTGGACCGCCAGTGTGAAAGGAGACTAAGAATGTTATCCCATGTAGTCCAAATCATTCATGGCACTCATTCAACTAGCCAAAATGTTTTTTGGTTCTTTTTGGGTTTTTTGTGGGCCATGTGCAGAACTTTGGGCAGGGGTCCATGTTGGACATTATTCTTTTCACTTCCTGTCCTAGTGTGTGATGTGAAGGGAGGCCAATTCTCCTCGGTTGTGGTGGAGACAGCTTCTTAAACCTGACAAAGGTTCTAGGCTTTTCTTGCTGTATCTAAACTTCAAAAAAGAAAAAAATATTTAAAAGAAGTTGGCTGACGTTGGGCTTTGAGCATGCAATTACAAATTACAAATCTTAATACACCAGTATAAGGATCTTTTATTTCCATTAGAAACGGATGGTTATCTTTCAACAATTAGTTTTTTTCTGTAGGGTGCTTTCAGAATGACTGGGCACCCTTGCCTCCTTTAGATTCAGCCAGCAATGTGTTTGTGGGATTTCCCTTGAGGTTGGGCACCGTGCTTTTCCTAAGGAACAATGAGGGCATGCTGAAACTTGCGGCATCTTCGTTTTCAGGCTTCACGTTTAATTTATCCAGTTCAGGTTAAGTCTGCTCTTCCTTCCTGTGGGAGGAAGACAAAAATGACTTTCCTCGTAAATGAAAGTGACTCGGTCTTTGACAAATTTCCAAGACCTATTACGTTCAAACAGCTTTCACGTCAGGCTCATGAGCACCTGCAGGGAACATGCTGCAGACTTCACCTCCAAAACTGCCTGTGATGAGCAAACGTTTATCATGTACAGCACACCCCTAAAGCCTCAGCCCCCGGGCTTAGTGAACGGATGAACAGCATTGGTATAAATATCCGTTACAAAATGGTTGCTGATGCTTTTATATAGCATTCCAATGACCCGTATAATAATTTGGTACTTATTTGAATGAAGTGCGGAGGACAGTGGTAGGGTGCAGGAAGTGATACCAACTAGTTATCTTTCGGAGTTCTCTCCCGTTTAAGATGTGGTCTGATTAGTTCCTGTGGTTGCTGTGCTTGACGTTTATTTCCCATTTGCAGGTAAAGTTAAAAAAAAAACAAATTTTCCATTTCACACAGCATATGTAAAAATTATTTGTACAAAAATATATAATTTTAGTTTTTTGGGGAATAGCACTATGCATAGGAATCTATAGGCAACCTCTATTTTAGAATAGTTTGCAATGTGCAATTAGGGAGACTGAGGGATAGTAGGTGGCTTTTTTTTTTTTTTTGTGCTTAACATTGCAATGTTCCTCCCTAGCCTTGATCTTGTTAGGACAGACAGTGTACACATATAAATACCACTAAAACGCTGCGCTTAAAATACCATAAATTCCTCCCAATCAGTGAATTAATAAACCCTTTCTACTCTACACTTTGTTTTTGGAGAGGTGTATATATATATATATCTCCAAAAACATAAATACATGAGATAATATAAATATATCTATAGATATCCACTATCCAAATGTCCCAGTGTAGTCCAGTGTTCTATGATCAACAGTACACATTTACAACTGATAATGAAATGCTAGTGCAGTACAGATGGGGTCAATTATGATGAACATAACTGACCAGCCCCGTCAATACCATTTCATAGAAGGTGAAAGATGGGTAAGATTTTTAGGCGAGCAAAAAGGTAAGCGGTAATCTTTACATTATTTTGATTGTTTTTGGTATGTGAATAGGAGCACACAACTAATATTTAGAAGCGTGAACCCAATTTGACTGCAGAAATGAAAATCCACTTTAATATACTTGCTGGCCTAAGTGGCCAAATCTGGCCTATTACTGTTGGATCGGTTCCTTTATATTCTATAGGCCATTTCTGATTTTAGTATACATTCCCAGCCAAGTCATCTTTGTGGGCGGGGCTACATTTGGGGCAGGTCAATTGTTTTCCCTTAAGATGGGCCAGAACCAAGCCCACAGACTCGCGTACTTAATGCAAACTTGCATGTTTTATGTACAAGAACATTTATAGGACCAGAATGCATCTCTGTCCGTGGTCAGCTGTAACATAGGTGAGGTTGAATAAAGACAAGGGTCCATCTGGTTCAACGTGTGTATATTGGGCATACAACTATACCGATATCTATGCCGAGTATTTGGGAGAGTACTCGTACTCGCCCAAATGCTCCGATGCCTAGCCCAATACTTCCTGTATCAGGAAGCCGGGCAGCGAGTCATTACACGCTGCCTGGCTTCCTGATTGGCCGGGAAGCCGACTCCATGCTCCCTCGTCAGCATGGAGCCACCTTCCCGACCAATCAGGAAGCCGGGCAACGTGTAATGACTTGCTGCCTGGCTTTCTGATTGGCCGGGAGGTGACGAGGGAGCATAAAGCCGGCTCCCAGGTTAATCCGTAAGCCATTGTTACACGCTGCCCTGGTTCCTGATTGGCCAGAAAGCCTGCTCCATGCTTTCTCGTCGCCTAGTGACTAGAAGCACGGGGACGGCTTCCCTGCTAATCATGAAGCCAGGTGGCCAGTCATTACATGCCACCTGGCTTCCTTAATGGGACATCCGGTATCGGTATTCGGTATCGGCGAGTGCCGGGAAAAAAAACACCGGTACTCGATACGAAAAACCGGTATCGGTGCATCCTCAGTCTCTCTCCTGTCTGTCTGTCTGTCTGTCTGTCTGTCTTATATCCTTGTATATGAAGTGAAAGAAGAACTTGTGTAGACGTTTTGAAGACTGCAATAAGGTCACCTCTTAATAGCCTCTTTTCTAAGGGGAATACGTTTTAATATTTGAAGGCGGTCTTCATAACTCAGGCCTTCAATCCTAACCTGCCAAAAAATAACTACATTTCACTGCGGTTTCCACAGAATCCTCAGCTCTTTGCTCTTGCAGTTGGGTCACAGCCTTTTCAAGCCAATAGAATGGAGTATAGCTTTCCTGGTATTCTTTAAAGTGACCCTGTCTGGTCCCCTAGATCGGAAGAGTTTTTCATTCTGGGAAGCTTTGGAAGGTGTATGCTGTATCATGGATTAAAATAAAGTTTGTATTTAATTGGAGGAAGCATAGAGTGTGGCTCTTGGAGTGTGTGACGAGTGACGCCATTACTCCTCCCTTTCGGTCTATGTATCCTCCCTTCCTTTCCAGCACTGCAGTCTTTATCTTTTGGCCTAACTTCTGAGTTAGTGTTAGATGCCTGTGCCACCCCCATGCACTCTCTTGCTATTTTTCAACCCCTTCATAATGGAGACCTGTAGTGACATATGGGTCAGAGGAAGCAACAAAACAGGGAACACAGACATTTGGCACTCGCAGAAGATGCTGAAGGAAGCTGCAGTGCTCGAATTGGAGTGGGCAGATGAGACTATCGGACTCTAAGTGAATAGTTGCGCTTCCTCTTCAGGAATCTGACACATTATTTTCTGAGAATTTTGTCTTGTTTTTTTTGCTCACTCAAATAAAAAAAAATTCAGCACATATCTGCAAAAGATGCACATTCCCTCCCCCCCGCCCCCCCCCAGTTTTAGCCCTCTGTAAATGCTGCCAGAAATCCAGTGTGCTCTTTCTTATTTCTGCTGACAACTCTGCCTCTGCTGCACAGAGAATCCCAAGCAGTTTTGTCAGCTCTGCCAGTTCTCATGTTTGGATAGCAGAACACCTCCCCTTATCTTCTCCAAAGGAATAAGGGGAATTGCTCTCTAGTCCAGAATGAAGAACTCGGGCAGAGATAACATTGCTTCAGATTTTCAGTGTAGCAGAGGGACATTATCAGCTCAAGCAGGGAAGGTGACTGGATCTTTGGCAGGATCAGTGTAATTTTTTGTACTTGCAGCATTTTTAACAGGCACAACATGGGGAAAATTTAAAAAAAAATTCCATCAGTACACTTTTTAGGTTTTCTGCCTTAATCTTTTGTGAGAGCCATGCAATGTTGGAATAAAGGATTGATTTCAGCACTGGGGCTCATGTGATTATAATGTCTATTTTTGTAGTTTGTCTTATCTGCAGAACGAAGTGTGTAAGGATCTGGAATATGGTGTGCGTTGTCCCAGAGAAGGACTGCTGAAGTTTCACTTTAACGCCATACTTCCATGTTTGATCCAGTTGTCTGCCATCATGCTTTCAGAAAAGGGCGTTGGCAATGTTGACAGCCTCTTGGCACAGCGTTCTCCATGCTG